TTTCTCTTCTCACTTTATAAATAGAACCAAAAGAGTATATAATTATTGAGTATTTTTGAGTAATTTTTTATTTTTATTAAAGCAAAGTAAAACCCACTCTAAGACACTCATCTCTCCTCTCATAATCATCTCTTCTCTCTCCATGCTCTTGAAGCCAAAAGTTTCTTTTACTAGTTTTGAAATGCAACTAAAGGAATGTTTGGATGGAATCAAAATCATGATTTTAAAAGTATTTTTATGGTATACGAAGTAAGTATGTAGAGAAGTTTATCTTGATTTGTAAAAAAGTACTTCTGAGAAGTACTTTTTTTGTTGCCCAAACACCCCCTAATTTTTACTCCAAAAGTTAGTTGGGTTAAAAGCCCATCCAAATAAGTTCCAAATATTAGTTTTATAGACTCCCAGACATTTTTATAGCTTCAAATGGCACTTCAAACGTGCCCTTAAAATTTAAAGGTAGTTTGGATTGGCATTGAGCCAAACTGACTTTTACCCAATTGACTTTTGTAACTGAAGTTAAAGTAAAAGTCAATTAGTGTAATGCGGTTTATGTTTGGATACGTGCTTTTAAAAAGTCAGTTGAAAAAATTAAAAGTTGTTTGAATGATTAATAGAAAAGTTAATTTAGTTGTAAAATGACTGAAATGGGCATAGAGTAGTATTTGAAATTTTATGTTTTTAATGTGATAATAGTTTAAAAAAACACGTAAAATTATTGTGATAAAATATAAATAGTTTATTTGTGAAATTATAAAATAAAATATTTGTTACGGAGAGAAAATTTGAAAACACATTGTAAATAATTAATTAAATATACATAATGGAAACATGAATATAAATTAAAATTCATTTTGTCTCTAATTAAAGTCAATGGAATCACATAACTAATTAGATCGTAAACTTTGCACAATTTTTTCATAAGTCAGTTAGAAAAGTTGATCCAGATTGCGTTGGATAAGTTAGTTAGAAAAGTTACTTTTTCATAAGTCAGTTAAAAAAGAAGCCCCATCCAAAAAACAATCTTCTAAGCCACAATAAGCCACAAACCTCAGTTTCACGCTTCCCTGTTACCATTTGCAACGGCAATCCAAATGAGGCCTAAGTTTTTGCGGTTGCTAACATGGAGAGGGGAAAGCAAGTGAAGATGAAAAGAAAGATAAAGATATTTAAGTGGGTCATATCTTGATCCAATAGTTTGATTTTTTTCAATAATAATTTAACTATTTTTTATTTATTGTTTTTCTTAAATTTATCAAATTATATACATATGGTATATTATCTCAGATTCTTAATATAAGATCGAGTGAATGATTTGAAGAGATTATGAAAGCTAAATAAATTACTTAATTATATTTATATTACATGATCTTTCTAAAATATTTATATATATCACTAGATTACAAATCAATTTAAAAGTCAGGCAAATTAGTTCCCAAAAAAATAATACCTTTTCAATCATTTTACATTAAACTTATTGTTTCATTACTTATCTAAATAAGTTTCAACCTATCAAATTGACTTTTATAAATAAAATCCAAATATAAATCACATTGCACTAATTGATTTTTATCATAATTTATGTTTACAAAAGTCAAATAAAATAAAAACCAGTTTTATCACTACTAATCTAAAGAAGCCTGTAACAACAGCACCGACTTGCATTGATGTGAACATGTTGCATGTTCGTCGTGTCAAACATTTTCAAAAACCAAACCATTTAATGCATCTAATTAACTTAAGTGAACACAAAATATCATGACAAAAAAATGATTTTATAAAAAGACAATACTTATATTAAGTTTTTTATTTTATGTTAAGTTTTCTATGATCATGTATAATAAAAAACTTAAAGATAATAGGCATAGGAAACTTGATCTAATTTATGGAATCCTATTGACTTTTGTTGCCTTTAGCAATGAAGCTGCTATCAGGATTTTATTACGCCAAGCAAGTATATGCATGAGTTCATACATCATAAAAATCACCTGAATTAAGTCAAATCAATAATAGTATCGGCAAATGTATACTACCTTTGGTCTTTTTTCAGGATTCTAACTTGTGTTCTTCTCTTTACGGAGGTGTGGCCACTGTCATCTCAACTAACAACTTAATGGTTTACTACTTTTAGTTTTTAACATAAGAGTTAGTGTCTGTTTGGCAGAGCTTAAATTAGCCCATAAGCTGCTTATTTGGGCATAAGCCCGATTAGAAATTCTGATGATTTTGGGAGGGCTTAAAATGTATCGGGCTTATTGAAAAATAAGCTGGCTTATCATGGGTTGGAAATAAGCTACGAATAGGAGCTTATTTTGGAGCTTATTAATGGACAGGTTGGGTGCTGGCTTCGTTGAGGTCTTTTCCCAATTATACTGGGAAATGTGGTGAGATATTATTGGAAAAGAATAACGTCACTTTGTTAATGAGCAAAAGACCGTTCATTAGTTGGGTGCCTCTGATTGTCTAATTTCATTTTTGAATTTAAAAAATTCAGAAAAGTAAAGAAAAATTTCCTTTCACTAATCTCTTAGTCTCTTTATGTAAGAATAATTAATTAGCTAAAAATTAGTTCCAAAAAAATAATTAATCATGTTTCATTTTATCTTTAAAATATTTTTCATGATTTTTTTTAAAGTTTTAAAATTTAATTCACTCATTAAATTGCACTTCTTCATATTAAATTATTTTAAATTCACTGTATTATATAAAATTATTTTTTAGTTATGTTTCATTATTTATTAAAACTCATACCCATTTGGTCATTTTACAACCAAATTTATTATCAACCATAATCCAAACAATTTTTGACCAATCTCACTTTTACAAAATAGCTTTTCTGAACTCTAATCCAAACACAATTTAGCTTATCCAATTTAGCTTTTACCAACTTCACTTCTCCATAAGCTACTTTTTCAATAAGCTGATTTTCAATCGCTGATCCAAACGGACCTTAATCTACTAATTTGAGTAAATTAAAAAATTTGTTAAATTAGTTATTTATAATAAATAAGTGTTAAAGTACCCTTACTAATAATATGTTTTAGTTAGAACTAGTGTTTAATGCAATGCTTAATATATATAATTACTATAAAGACTATTTTGAAAAAAAAAAAGTTAACTATAACAGACAAAGTGAATTGATGTTTTATATTAAAAATCAAGTTAGTTCTTATATCAAAGATGAAAAGTAGTAATGAACTTTTTGTTTTGCAAGATAAACCGCATATTTAATAACTCATAAATAATTACTCTAATACAACTTATATGTGAGGAAAGAGTTGATATCGTAATTAAGTAGTTCATCCTATAACCATAATACCGACTTGTACTAATTTTACATTGCATATCTCATTATTTCTATATACTATAGTTTTAAAAAATTTTCATTTAACACATTTAATAAGATTCTTTTAACCTAGTATTTGAATTCAATGTTTTGTTTGAAGAGAAAAAAGTTCACTGTTTAGGTTGTCAAATTCACGAATTTAAACAAACTCGTGATAATGATATAAACTGAATCGTAAACTCGAATTAGTCTATTTTATTAACAAACTGGTATTAAAAGTATATTATCAAATAATTAAATATAAAAAATGAGAACAATTTTTTTAAATATATTTTTAATTTAAATAATTGAAATTATATCCATTAATGTTCATAATTTATCACATTCAACAAAGAAAGTTTCATAAAATTCATATATAAAGTCACTAAACATAATCAAATTTAAAATTCAGCATGAGTTTAAGAATAAGTTGACACGATTTTGTAAGCTAAAAACGTAACAACGATAAACTCGATAAATAAATTGGTAAGTTTAACAACTTACAATTATCATGAGGTTTAAGAATGAATTAACACGATTTATTTTATTGAACACATAAAAACTTTGAGAGCGTCGCGAGTTTGACAATATTGTCACTGTTTTTTTTGGGTCAGCTTGAATTCACCTGCCTCGGTTTGATAAGCAACCACCTTGGGACGCTGGGTGCTGTGATGGGCCTCCCTGAACCACGAAATTTCCTCAAGTGACATAGGCCAGTAAGGGAAAGAAGGTAAAAGCGTTTTAAAAGAAGTTAATTAAATGGCATTTTATTTTAATTTCTGTTGTTTGTACTTGGGATTGGAATTTCATTTTAATGTTAATAATTGTTCATGATTTTATTTTAATTTCTTTCCTTCTCCTGCGCTCTCTCCCCAGATTCTATCATCCTGAGCTTGCCAATAAAATTTCCATTCCATAAACCCCTTGGGAATGTGCATAGCTATATGCAAAAGCCTTCTCAACGTGAAACCCGTTCTCTTTGCTCAATTTGCTTTAATCCCAATTTCCTTACCCCCTTTTTCCTCTTTGCCAAGCCTCGTTTTTGATCGATGTATAATTTGTATTAGCACTTGATTTGATGCTCAAGTATCTGTTCCCGCATTCGCATATTGTTTATCTGTGCCCACCACGCTTCCGCTATCGTTGCTGATTCGCCAACACTTCAACTGTGTAGGGATTGAGCCGTTTCCCTCTAGGGTTTTATTGTGATCATCCAAGCTATCCTGTATTCTTTTATTGCAGTATTTTTTCCCGTATTAGTTTTCAGGCTTTCCGTTTTGGATTTCATTAAGTTGTTCTCGCCTGAGTTTGTTGGTAGTTTTCAAACGTTGCTATTACTGTTTATATTGGTTTTTATACGTATTTATTTATTTTTTAAACTCTAATTCATTAGTTAGTAGGTGGGCACTCTGATATTGAGTGGGGGATTCTATCGTTGTGCCTTTTTATCGGGAAAATACCTAGAATTGGTTATATGGGAATTTGCAGTGCTTATCATAACTTTTAAAACTCGAAGGACATTCAATCCTCTCTTTGTTTTCTTGTTTTAGTGCTGGAGAGTTTGTGGGATAGTACTCTGATCTTTTCATGTTTTCACTTTTATTGGTTTCATTGGTGCAGTTATCAGCAAGAGTCTGTTGTTGCGGTGTCTTGTTCGGGGGTGCGAGGTTACTAGGGAGTTTGAAAGTTAAAAGATTGAAAGCAAAGGGAAACCTTAGGCTTGCATGGGCGAACATGAGGGGTGGGCGCAGCCCTCTGGTGGTCTATTGCCAAATGGTCTGTTGCCTGATGAAGCTGCCTCGGTAATTCGAGTGCTTGACTCAGAGAGATGGTCGAAGGCTGAAGAGAGGACTGCAGAGCTAATTACCTGCATTCAGCCTAATCCACCCTCTGAAGAGCGTAGAAATGCTGTTGCTGACTATGTGCAGCGGCTTATCACGAACTGCTTCCCCTGCCAGGTGGGTCTTAGGTGCACAAGCAGACATATTCTGTATCTATTCCTTTTTTTTTTTTTTTTAATTGCTCACTTAAGAGCTATTGTTTTGTAAATTATGCATATTATAACTGCTGTCAAATTGACATCTTTGCAGCATTAAAGAATTTTTTGATAGTAATCAAGGTTTCAATTTTGAATAATGTCGTCTTATGCCAACAGTATTAACCATTGTCTAGCCTCTAAATTAGAACCCTAAGCCTGAAATGCCATTGTGGTAAAAGTTGCATATATGACAAATTTGTAGTATGGCTTGGCTCTGAGTTCTGGTAATGTGCGTTATCAATTATGAAGTTCCTTTGGTTCTCTTGCTCCATTATTGTAAAACATCAAGACTTATTTGCATAAATCATTGATTGGTTAAGTGTTATTGTTATAGGTGTTTACCTTTGGGTCTGTGCCCCTCAAGACTTATTTACCTGATGGAGATATTGACTTAACGGCTTTCAGTAAAAATCAAAATTTGAAGGATACATGGGCACATCAGGTTCGTGACATGCTGGAGAGCGCGGAGAAGAATGAGCATGCAGAGTTCCATGTGAAAGAGGTTCAGTACATCCAGGCTGAAGTAGGTTCCATTATAACACAATATTTTATCTACTGTGATTTCTGTGTTTA